AAAAAAAACCAAAAAATTCCCGTTGGAAAAAAAGAATGGATGGGGGAATTTGACGCCGATTTTTTTTGTTGGAAGGGATGGATTGTAGCCACCGGCAAGTTTTTTTGGAAGGGTTTCTAGGGGGGACAACATTGAAGGGATTTTTTTGTGCATAGTTGGGTTTCGAAGGGGCACGGGATCCACCCCCTTTGTCCTTTAAAGTTGACACAGCTTTTTTCAGTGATACATTTTTTTGATGGCCGGCCAATTGACCGTATTTTTTCCTCCTCAGGCATTTTTTCGATAAAAGCCCAATTGACGGGTTGGGTTTTTAACAACAAGTTGAAAAAAGGGCCCCAAAATTTTTTGTTTCGCCGTTTTTTCCCGGGGCAAAGGTTGTTGTTTGTTTTTTTACAAACCCAAAGTTTTTTTTTTCCCCATCAGATAAGAAGGGGGCAATGCATTTCCCCCCTCCTTGATACTTGTTGGTGCAATTTTAGGGGGATTTGATTTTTGCCCCCCCCCCCCCCCGTACCTTGTCGGAGAACATTCGGTTCGAGAAAGAGAAGATGGCCACACCGCCAGGCCTTGTCTCGTCCGCGGAACCCCCCGGCATGGAACCAAAACGCCGCGTCAGCCACACCCACCGAAAAACGGGCGCGCATAAGATGAGAACGAGTTCGCGAAATCAATCAGGCTGCTTGAGCAGTCAACTACCTGCGTGCCACGCTTTTTTTTCCTTTCTAAAAACTTTCGCCGCGAGGTACTTTTACCAGCAGTAAGCATGCCACCTTTCTGTCTGCAAGCGACACACAGATTTCCAACAGCGGTGAGACTGCTTACAAAGACCTTCTCCGCTACAGGAGGGTAGGCTTTACTTGCGTCTCCATGGGTACACACGCAAACGGCCTCGTTTCTCCCGTAAAACTACTGTGTTTTCGTCCCCATCTACCGTATATGACACAAGATAACACACCCCCTGGACCGATTTTCAAAGCTCGATTACTCCACGACGAAGAGGATGCATAAACGAAACAATGCGTTTTCGAACAGCTCTCGACGAGACGGTTCCAACGCCGCCGTTTTCGGCGCTGTGACTGACTCTTCCTGCTGTTGAGAAATTGAGCTTTGAAAATCGGCCAAGGGGGTGTGTTATCTTGTGTCATATACGGTATTCTTGGTGCCAGTCTCTGTGTTTTCGGTACACTCGTAAGTGCGACACAACACCCGGGTTCACAAGGGAGGGATTCTCCGCCTTTCGGCGCTTGACTTCAATTTGTAACGCCAGAAGGTTTGAGCACCCCCCTTGCTGTGCGTGTTCACATCAATGCGCGCTATTACCTTCATCATTGCGAGTCCATTTTTCACGTGGGAGGGATTCGAGGCTCCTAACACACGCGCAGCACCTACCGTTTCGAAAGTGACCGACATCTTGGCCGAATAATACTGCCACAAGAAACCAAATCTTGAGCAAACCCCGCTCACGCGAGCACCGAACAAAAAACAAAAAAAAACGGACTCGAGGCCTCTCCCTCCCTTACTTGAGCACTCGGCACACGTCCGCGAACACTGCCTCCGGCTGCTGGAGGTACTGCACGGACACCGTGCACACCACAGCGTCATAGGTGGCGTCTTCGAAAGGGAGGCGGGGTTCCGCGTTCAGGTCCCACACCTGCAATCGGCAAGCAAGAAAGAGAGAGAGAGACGAGCAAAGGGGGGGCGAAGCACCCAAGCCTTGGTACTATTGGTGGACTGCGACAAAGGGAGATAAACGCATAGCGTGGTAGGAAGCATGGGGTCTGATTTGGCCACGCGCTAGGTAACATGTTTAGCGAATATCACACCTGCAAGCAGGCGAGCACGCACGCCACCGCAGGGAGAAAGAAATGGCAAGGGCGAGGGGGACCGAAGCGGCAAAGCCACGACAGTAGATCAAGCCACAGACGTTGTTTAGTAGTGGTAGAGAGCGGCAAGGAGCGTGCATAGCTTGGTAGGAAGCACGGTTCTTATTCGGCAACGCACCTGGCAACATCTTTTACCGCAAAATATTCATACACACACACGCACCAGATCCTGACCGATAGTCGACAGCCTGTTCAGTCAAACGATATCGCACCAGCGTTTCGGAATTGGCGCGAAAAGGCCCGACTACGAAGCTTATCCCATTTTAAGCCGCACTGAGACTGGCCGTATATTTCATTGGTCAGCCGACAATAAGCGCGGTCTACGCCAACAACAAGAGCACCAAAAGTACACTACACACACGAGGGAAAATAAACAAAATCGGAAGTTAAGATTGGTGAGAGGTCTGCGGTCAACCGGTGAGGTTATCCACCGTGATGACGTCACTCTCGGGTAAAATACCGCAATTTCAACTTTGCCGTGAACATTGCTGATGTAGTCATTGGTCACCCTGAGATCGACGCAGTGTATGCCTCAGCTCCCTCTTCGCGTTTGTAGCTCACCCGCTTTGTGTCAAGACGCGGGTTCCGGCCCAGCTCTTCCAGGTTCATCCCGTGTCCATCCACCCGCTCGTAGGTAACCTGGTCTCTCGCAAGAGATAGTCGGAGGGTCAGAGAAGGCGTAGAGAGCGAGAGAGCGAGAGAGCGAGAGAGAGAGAGAGAGAGAGAGAGAGAGAGAGAGAGAGAGAGAGAGAGGTAGACAAACAGAGACAGAGGGATGGAGAGACAGAGACAGCCAGAGACAGCCAGATATAGATACACACGCACACAAGCGTCGAAGAGAGTCAGCAAAAAAGGCAACGTACCCTATCCTTTGACCCCTGGAAACGCGAGAACGTTTTACAAAAGAAAGGCACAGCAGTCGAGGAAGTCGAGCCGGCAGTTGCATAACGTAGCGGAGAACAACGAGTACCGTATGTGGTACCCGTTTCATGACGCGCAATCGAAGGCCTGCAACTCAAGATCGCCGCGTGCGAGGCGACGTGATCCATGGTAAACCCCATGACATTGTTCCATGGGAAAATCCATGCATCAAGCACGTCGACGACAGAAGGAGCACGCCCCACCCTCCAGATAGGAGATAAAACCACCGCACCTAACGTGAACAGAGCGAGACAAGCTTGACAGACACCGAGGATGTGTTTTCGGGAATGCGCCCCCCCCACTCTGGCCCCCACTCTTTGCCAGTTCATAAAGGTACGGTCTACCACATACCATTTGCTCATTTGGGGCTCGACACACAGGAAAACAGGGAAACGGACACACCGCCGGGGGACCTTCGCACGACACTTTTCCGCGATAAAGAAACCAAACAATCCCACTATCCAGCCGTTTTTTTCCACGTTCACTGCTAAGACTTCAACACACACCCTTCCACTGCGGAAATATATCTCGAAAGGGAAGTCTTTCTTTGAATGTACGAGTATTTTCTAAAAAGAATACCGCAAACCGGGCCCGGCCTTCTCTGTAAATAGGCGTTTACCTCTGGTGGGAGGTGACTAACCCACGAAGACATCATGTCTAGCACCGCACCGCCCGCAGGGATTCTTTCTCTTCGCATTCCCGAGCGCATGAGGATGGTGTTGAGGCGTGTTTTTGGGGGAGGGGCGGGGCAACGGCTGAAGAGGTTGGGGGCGATAAACACAGCGTAGTGGTGTAGCGGCGGGCCGGCACACAACGTGGGAGTTGGGGTTCCGCGGCAAGGATTTTACATGCCTTGCGTGCATGTATGAAGGCATGGCAGCTAGGTTATCCTCAACCGACGGGCAACGACTTCGGTCGTACTAGTAGAAGCGACAACCACCACCACCACCACAACAACAACAACAACAACAACAACAACAACACCAACACCAACTTGAATTCAATGCCCCCTCGTCCCCGCCCCCGCACATGCGGGTCCTGCCGACCTCAGGTGCTCCGCATCAGCCTCCGCGTCACGATATTCTCCCTAACTTGCCTTTCTCGTCTGATGAAGTAAGCCATCAACAACTCACGAACAAAGTCCGCTGGTCTACCCCAACCGATCGAGCTATATATCTACGTAGATCTAGGGCACGAGCAGGAGCCTCGCCGCGAAGCGGGCAAAAGACGAGCGCCGACGAGGCAGAATACTTCCTCGCTGTAGGCATCAACACACTTTTGTACTTAATTCCTCCGGTGCTGTTGTGGTGTGTAAACACACGCGGGTTTAGTCTGAAACCCACAACAAGACCGTACGAGCAATCGGTTGGACTATGGTCTAGAAGCCTGAACCAAACCAGAAGACTAGTTCAAAACAAAAAGAATAATTCAATGGCTTGATTTAGGCTTGTAAGGGACGATGAGAAACACCGGGGAACTTGCGACGCTCGGATCTGTCCTACGCTGGTATACGAGAGCACGGCCTCGCTTACCCCCACCTCCTCAACGGTCATTTAAACTAAAGACTTACGGCCGGCGTTTACGTGAGTACCGACCCCCCTCTCCCCGTAGCGGTCGCCGATCTCACCGGTACAGCTCCGTGAGGTGCTTGAGGAAGCCCTCGTCGACGTGGTAGCAGATGCGAGGGTAGCCGTAGAAGAGCCCGTCCGGACCGTCGTTCAGCTTCGTCCGCTCGCCCTCGTTGAGCACGAGGTTTTTTGCACCTGTTGACCCAAACAACAAAAGAAAGGAAAAAACAAATAGTGGTAGCATGTAGCAGCATGCGCGGAGAAGCGTGTCGCAAGGGTGTGTCCTTTTTGTGGAGGGACACAACGCCCACGTCCAAGTAGCCTTCCGATGGTTCTTGGGTATTTATGTAAACATGTTGGATACAGTATACAAATCGGGGAAGATGTATTATGTAAACATGTTGAATACAGCATACAATCGGGGAAGTTGGGGTAGGTGAATATCGTATGCGTCCCCCTTCCCTGTTCTTTTTCCTCAAATAAATTTATTATTAATCGCGCGAAGGCGGCCCGCGCCCACCATGAACACGAGTAGCTACACGTGCTGAGGTACTTCACCGGTTACATCGGTGGTTGTGTGCAGTCGAGCGAACTGGCAGCCGAGGCCGAGACGTAGAGCTTGATAACACTTGATCGAGGCGTGGTCTGGACTTTTGGGGGTGCACGGAATGCCGCTGTATCTACACAGACGAAGCAAGCTTTTGGGGGACTCGCGGTCAATCGGGCAGAGCCGACGCCGACACTACTATTACGGTTGGCGCCGAAAAAAATGCGATCCAATCTCGCCGCTCCTCGCCTTTTGGGTACACTTTTTGTCCCCATCTTCTTCGCCTGCTTTACCTCGCGAAGAATGGCATGATTGTCTCCTCTTTTGCACTACTCGACCAGGGGGGTGCCAGGGTACACAGGGACGACTCTAGTCTAGTATGGATGCTTTGTAGAGTGGAGGAGTATGAGGGTAATGAACAGGTCGAATCGCGGGGCGATTACGCCGCGGGTTCAACAGCGAAGTTGCGCCGCGTCTGTCTACCCTTGGGTGGAAAGCACTACTGGGGCAAGCGCGGAAGAAGTACCTAGCCCACCGTTGACAGGAGGCACCGAGCAACCTAGGGCTTGAGTTAGAAGGTCTCGCTTTCCCTCTAGAGAAATATCTTGAAAACCTCCTTTTCGTGCCCCGTTTACCACGCTCCCGCCAGTTGCTGTCTATATTCCCTATCAATTGTCCCCTCGATACGAGGGGACAATTGATAGGGATTACAGACAAGAGACGGCTCAAGTGGGAAGGTAGCTTTGCACTTGCACCCAGGGATGGAACTGTCGGCACCATCCAATCAGCAGGCGTCGTTCGCTCTTTTTCTTACATTTCAGAAATTTCGCAAGAACACCGAATTTTCTGTGCGTGCTAAGGGGGTTAACTTCGCCAGACTTAGTCTTGACAGGGCGCCGCACGTGCTTGTGTTTTCTTAGGTGCCAGAGGTGACAATCAGCGTGACAATGATGATATCGTTGTCGTCCTCGTCGTCTGTTTTTTAGAAAGAATGAATAACCTCACAGAAGACTACCCCGTTCGACATATATATATATACCACAGCAGTCGATAGGCTGTTGTGTTGATGGGTCCAGCTCGGTTGACTGAGCGTTCGGTGATGCGTGTGAGTATTTTGCGACACCTCGATTTTCTTAAAGAACGTTTGCTCCAGAAGACGGGACACGCTACCGCGTCATGTCAACGACGCAAAAAGACACTCTCAAGGTGAGAGCCGACGTAGCATCCAAAGGAGACCTCGTTCACTACGAACGAACTCTGCTCAATGCGGCGTGTTTGATTGCGTTTTGTGCCATGGTGGCGGGTGGCGGGACTGTTGTGTTCTTGATGACTCATTCACGAGCGACTTCAAGCTTCAAGAAACGGCCACCACATCCCACAAATGCGATGCTCCCTGCGGTACCCCTCTGTGGACATGAGGAGAACCTCGAGTGTTCTCCTTGCTCCAAAAGCACGTACCTGGCGAAGCACTCATGCTGAGCGAATCATGCCGGGAGGTAGAAGGTTGACCAAGTCTGCTGGGCAAACGTTGATGAGTTCCGGTGATGATCACGTTTGGCGATGCAACGAAAGCAAGGGTGCCAGGCATCAAAGCTCCCGCAGCTACCGCTGATGCAAACATAGCTGGCACTGTGGAAGGCGCGGGGCGCTTCATGGTCTTGTCTTGCGGCAGTATGCTGAACTTGAACAGGGGGCGGAATGACATGAAGTCAGCTGGTCAGACACAGCACAGCGAAGACCACCGCCAGCGTCGGGATACCCCCCCCCCTTACCTGACGCCGAGTACACTCTGTGTGTGCCCTCGATCTACTCTCTGGGCACGCACGACATTCACACACGAAACAAAGCATGAGGACAGCAGCGGTTATGTGCGCCCTCTCGGGGGCTCCTAGTTCCTTGGCGTTTATCTCTCCTATGGCCTCCTCAGGCTTCCCTCAGGTCTGTGTTGTTGTCTCTGAATTCAAAAAGCACCCGCTTTTGGTTAATTGCGCCGCTTTTTCGGGAGAGGTGATGTGGCATTCCCATGGCTTGCGTCGTCACGCCCCGTACCACCCCCCTACCCCTCCCGGGGTGGAGCAGCTGATCCCGACAGGGTTTCTATGGTCTGGTTCCCTTATTTTCTGCTTGAATCCATGAAAAGCAGCAGCAGTAGCTGTGACGGTTGGGAGGTCTTGCACATGATGTTGAGAGATCTTGACGTGTTGCCCAGCAATTCGCACAACACTGCCAAGGAGAGAAGATGGGAGGCATCACGCAATGCCTGCAGTATCACCAGCAATAGGGCATCGTGCGCCTCGGCAGGCAGCAGTGCTAGGACCCTACAGGGGATATTTGCCACGCCCGGTGAAACAAGGCCCGAACAAATCGTAATTGCCCGCATTTTCACCGCCGGCGGCGGCCTGCTGGGCACGGATATATCATGCGCCATAGAATCATGGGTACCATTTTGGTTGTCTGCAGCGATGTCTTCCAGTCGTTGTGTGTTGTATCGCAGCAGTTCCCTCCCGAAAACGTTCAGTTTCGCCCGGGAGAGGTGCTCATTCACCGACAGATCTGGGCTGTACCAAACCTCGCCTCACCGAGATATGTTTCCCCAGGCCGAATCTGATCGCACTGCCACCCGTTGTGATACATTGATCGGGCCCACATGCGCGTCTACCTGCGGGCAGCAGCCTCGGGGAAGCGGGGGACTCGCAGCGCGCCCGACCTCGGTTACGGCTGCCGTGGTGATGTCGCACGACGGTAAGATGATTGGGACTGGCTGTCTCTGAGGACAAGCAGGGCTTGTCGCGCGTCTAGTGTAGCTCATGCCCACGTAGGTAGGTGCCAAACGCAAATTCTGAGGCCGAATCCATGTCGCCGTTGTGTTTATCTTTCTTATTTGCATCGACCGCGCTAACCGGATGATCAAGGAAAATACGTCAATGTTCAGTATATGTGTACGTGTTTCCTTATTAAGCATCGACCACGGAAACCGGCTGACCAATACAAGACTTCAGTCTTGTGTGTGTGTTTGTTATTTGCGTAGGCCGCGCTAACCGGCGGACCAATGAAAGCTGTACGCCATTCTCAATGCAGCTGAAAACAGAGGCTTCTTCCTAAGGCCATGATCTGGTTACCCCGTGAGGGGGCGTCATGGGGGAAGCTAGGCTGTTCTCCGGATGTGTGTGTGTTTGTGTTCGTGCGCTAAGCGCCAAGAGACAGGCGTAGAAACGCCACTCACGAAGCCAGCGCGGTAGTACTGCGATCCGACAATTGCATGCTGCTCCTTTTGGATTGTTTGGATGTTTAAAAAATGAAAGTACGCCCCAATGCTGTCTTCTTCGATTTCTAGCCTCGAATTCCAGGCTGAAGCTCACTTCCAAAGGCAGCAGAGAGCAGTAGATCATTCGGGCGGACGAGCGCTTACGCCGATCAAGGGTTAAGTCAAAATAGCGTTTACCGCCGGGGGTGACTCGTGCTATTGATGGTGGGAATTTACTTCATAATCGATTGAAATTCGTGGGGAGCACCAACAGCCAAGAGGACCCCCCCCCCCCCCCAAATGGCGCTCCTCCTCACTGTCCCCCCCGGACTCCTTGTCACGCACGCACAACCGCCTTGTACCTCCCTGACTTGGAAAAAAACACGCGCAGGTGAGGGCTTGCCTGTTTCCCGGCGATCTCTTGCGGAAGGGGTTTCCGCAACGCTAGCGGCGTCGGCTGCGCTTCTCACGGCGCAACCCTCGCCTGCCGCGGCGAAGCCAGAGCGCATCAAGGGCGGAGGGCCGCTGGTGACACTGGAGGATGGCGCCAGCTATCAGGAGATGACGATCGGCGATGGGCCTTCGCCCAAGGACGGCGACAGAGTGGCCGTGCACTACTCCCTGTTTTACAATGGTGACTCCGTGCCGGCATTTTGTTTTTTCCGGTGCTCCGTATTCCAATGAGACAGAAATAGCCCAGGCAAATGTTCAGCGCAGGTATGGATGAGCATCTGTGCCGGCATTTTTTTTTCCGGTGCTCCGTATTCCAGAGAAACAGAAGTAGTCCAGGCAAAAGTTCGGTGCAGGTATGGATCAGCATCAGAGCGTCCCGCACGGCATACTATCAGATCAAGCTTGGGCCGCTCGAATGTTTGGTGGGGGGGAACCTGGCGGTGTGCACACACACCCGTAGTGTAGATGCAGCACAGAGTGCGTGCTAAGATTGCTGCGGCATACTGCTGTCTAGATCAAGGATTGGCTGCTCGATTGGTCCGTAGAGGTGGACCTGGTCGGTGTGGGCACCCAGCCGAGAGGGATCGCTCACAAGCTAGGATTCTCTCGTGCTGGAACAACTGTTTTTCTCGGCTACCACTGTTGGTGGGCGTAAGAGCCAACAACTGAAATATTGTTTTTAGAAAAGGCGGGGCTCGTGTTTTTTTTTGTGGAGAACGCCCTGCCGACGCATCTCGGTTGATCTCCAACTCGGTATTTGGCTGCCATTAGTTAGCCTCCAACGTCTTGTGTCACGCGCTCCACCAGAAACCATCGGGCGCCATGCTGGCTCAGTTCTATCTTTCTGCGAGTGCCATGTTGCACGCCTTAACAATGTGCTCTGCTCCGGCAACGTGGCGATGACTACAACCCTTTTCCCGTGGCGGAGTTGTAGGGATGCGAGGTCTAACGAATACGGCATGCGTATACACGGGTACCCTCCCCCCCCCCCCTTCTTATTCCCCTTGAAGGCCTCGAAGTGGAAAGCTCAAGGGATAGCCAGGGGTTGGCTGCGAGACCCCTGGGGTACACGGCGGGGACTGTGAACGGTCCGGGCAGCGTGCCCCCCGGGCTGGACGAGATCGTCAAGGGGATGCGTGTGGTGAGGAAGCCTTAACGACCGACGTTTTACCCTGGCACCGTGTGGAATCTCCGCTGAGAAGGGAGGCGTTTTCAACGACAACCATGTGCTACCGCAGGTATAGCCCCTCACGGCCTGAGCCGTGCGCACTCGTTCGGGGTGTCTCCCACTCGATCGACACCTGAGAGTCGTTCGTGCCGTCAGCGGAGACGTAAGAGTGCTGCCGCCAAAAACGTACCGAGTGATCGCGCATACCCCAGACCGACTCGAACGCCCCACCAAAACGGGCCGCCAGTACAGTGGCGGCTACGGTTTAAGAGAGGGTCGTGACAAGCCAGTATTTCTCTATTAAATCCGGTTTTCTCCTTAACCGTACTGTGAAATGTGTGTATTTCTCATGGTCGTGACCAGCCAGTTTGACTCTCTTAAATCGGTTCTTTCTCTTAAACATACTCTCTTAAAACCGTAGCCGCCACTGTATGCCGAAAATGGGTTGCGTCGGAAGTACCGTATAGGACACAAGATAACACACCCCCAGGACCGATTTTCAAAGCTCGATTTCTCATCAGCAGAAAGGGTGGGGTGCCGAAGACGGCGGCGTTGAAGCTGTCTCGTCGAGAGCTTTCCGAAGACGTTTCGTTTCGTTTATGCATGCTCTTCGTCGTGGCGTAATCGAGCTTTGAAAATCGGTCAAGGGGGTGTGTTATCTTGTGTCGTACACGGTATCTATCTCGTCTAGGGCTGTCCGTCCTTGCGGGCATCACTCGGTTTTTCGCACCCTCTCGGCTGTATGTACACGCCTGCATCTGTTTGCCCATACCCCCACCCCTCCCCACCCTTCCCTTTTGTTCGCAACCGATAATCCGCGGTCCGCGCCCGGCGTCGTCTTGGGTGCGATTTGATTGGTCCCCTGCTGTGCCAGGGCGGACGGCGCAAGATGACTCTCCCGCCGCAGCTCGCCTTCGGCAAGGCAGGGAGGCCGCCGTTTATCCCACCGGACGCCACCGTCGAGTAAGCTTGCGGGCAGTTCGTGTTTTTTTTTTTTTTGTGGTTGGGAGAGACGTGCCTGCCGCGCGTGGAGCAAGGATCCGTAATCAACAACCGGCTGGTTTTTTGTCTGGGAGAACGGGGGCCAAGAGGGGATGACTGTTCCCGTCGTTCTCGATGAGTTACTCCAGTATTTTTTTTTTGCTTTCGGCAATCCGATTGCTGGGCGGAGATGCGCGGGTCAACGTAGGTACCCTTCGACAGTGCAGCCTCCTTGTGTGCTTCCTCAGTGTGACCCGCGCTTGCACGGTTAGATCTAAGTCGGGACGAGGACACTCCATGGCCCTCCTACGACCCCCCCTCCCCCTCCACCATTCACCCCCCCGAACCTCTTGCCTATCCTTCTCGTTGCCTTCTTTGCCCCGCCGAAGCATGGACGTGAGCCTCTGGAGTGTCAAGCCGGCCGGCACAGACCCTAACGTAACGCTACCGGGCTCGTCGGTGTTCTAGAAGCCGATCGACGCCCCCATCAAGACTTTGCCCGAACACCTCGTCGAGCGACCCCGGTCGTCACCTTGGAAAGTGTTGTATTTGAGGCTCGGGCGTACCCGTTGGCTATCGATGGGGGCGTTGCTCGAACCCATCGCGACCTTTCCGTTACGTGGACGTGCCCGTTCGAAGCGGTGACGTCACTCGTAGTGGTTGATGACAGGCGGTCGGGATTTGCAGGAATGATCCGCGCGTTAAAACGACCACTGCATATTGTAACAACAAGGTCTGCACGTCTGCACGTTCCGATACCTCACATCCAGAACATGCGGTGGTCCTTTTGAGCGGGGGATTTTCGGAACGGCGTACTCGGAACTCCTGCGCCAGGGTAGGGCGTAGGATTTTCCAGCTCTCTCTCTGTTGTCTCTGGGGCACCAAGTTGTATACCACGTCGTTTGGCCGCACGGCGTTGTTTTACCCCCTCAAGTTTCGATGGCGTTGGGTTTCATCATCATGTTTTCACAGCGCACGAGGAGTGCTATTGCGCGTGGGGCGGGAAGGGGGTCGGAGATTTTATCAGGGCATCGATGGGCACATGGACACTAACTTTTTTATTCCGCGTTGCGAGTACAAACTGCGTGTGGGCGCGTTCGTTATTGTGCGAAGGCGGGCGATGCAACCCCATTATTAGTGTCTGTATCTTGAGCGGCTTGTGTTGAGATGGGCAACCGTTTTGAGGTGGTGTTGTTGAGCTGAGAGGGGCGCGTGCGGGTATAGATTGTTTTCTTGCGCGGAAAAAGTTTGTGGGTTCGTTCATGTGTCGTTGTTTTTGTCAAAAGTAACAACTTCGTAAATTTTCGGTGCTGCACGAGACTGCGTGCTGCACTAGACTACTGCCTGCCGTAGTGAGGATGTTGAGTCATTTGTGCACAGGGTATGACAAGCATCGTCATCCTGTGCGATTGGACAAACGCGCGTTGATTGTTGTTGTTGTGGTGGCATGCACATACTGCTGTAGGCCTTCGTTTTCCCTCTGTATTGGAGGGGGTTGCCAGGTACTCCAAGATGTGCTGACTTGTGGGGATTCTGGTTTCGTGCTTGCGTGGTGTGTGGTAAGGGCGCAGGGCGGGAGATGATCGCAGGGCATAGGGCGAACAGGGCACCACGCCGAAATCAATATTATCAGAAGCCATTGGTTGTTCTTTCTCTCTCAGCAATCAGTATCATAATTCTTCCGCTCAGCTGGACAGAGTGGAATGCCTACTTTCGTCAAGCCGTTTAACCTATCTATGGCAACTTAGCTGTGGACAGAATTGGAATAATACGTGTTTTCTTCGTCAAGCCGTTTACCCTATCTATGGTGGTTTCAGTTGTTCAGTGGCGAAACAACGTCTACCGACATCTAGACTATCTATCTATCTCCAACACCGACGAAACCTAGACCACCCGCGAACAACAATCAATGCCCACTAGACTACTGGAGAAACTACGACTTCAACAACCATGTAGTAGTAGTGGTACACTGCCGCCTACCAAAAACGCTTAAACACTGCCTGACTGAATAACACGGTGGGTGCTGGTGATGCATTTCCGTGCGATGGTCGTGCCGACGGTTACGGAATAAATTTATCGGACGCTTTCGCTGGAATCTAGACTACTAAATATATCCGAGCTTTTTCCTGGAACCTGTGTCTTCGATGTATGTATGTACCAGAAAATAGACAGACAGACGCAGTCAATGACCGACGACCCAAAAGTACTTGTCGTCGACACAGACAGGTAGGTGAAACATGGCAAACCATTCTCAAGAGAGGAGGACCACAACTCCTACTGCTGTTTTTTTTTTGTTTTGTTCTTCACTTCAAATCTTCAAATCAGCGCTGACAGCACTAGTGCCGTTTTTTCCGACCCTGTATGTATCTGACGGAGGAGGACCATCACAACAAGGTTTTCCCTAGAGATTTTCCGTTGCCGCAGTAGCTCTCCGCGCCGGCGGCAGCCAGTGGCTTTCTCCAAGGAGGGCGCTGTCCCCAGCCCTTATTCTAGATGTAATCGCAGCAGTACATACATGCATCATGCATGCATGCATGGGGGTAGTGTGTACATCATGTGGACACATTTCTACACATATCATTCATTCTGTCTGTCTGGCGTATGTATCTATGCTGAGTGCTGAACTCTTCTCGCATTAAAAATCGTAGGCAAAGTACCGCAGGAGGGGAAGGTAGAGAGGGGCTCTTCTGTGTGACCACGGGTTGGAATAAACGGCACTGGTGCTGTGAGCGCTGATTTGAAGTGAAGAACAAAAAAAAAAAAAATGCTGTATTCATGCATACATAACATTATGCATCCCATGCATCCCATGGCCGTCCTTCCTCTCCCATATCTCTCAATAAGTGTAGCATACAACGAACGACTTTGGTCGCATGATGTAAGTGGGTCAGCCACCACCATATCGCATATATATCTTCGGATACGCAACTTCCAACGAACGTCGTTGCCAGCACAAGAACCTACAAACAATAACCTCTGGCATGATATCTCCGTATATCTTCGGATATTGCTACAACGAACGGGCGTTGTTGCACAAACGAACGGCTGGGCATAAGTCCTGCCGTGCTAATGGATACCAACCATCTGTCCTTACGACACAGCCGTAAAAACAAAATAAAAAAAATGGGTCACCTGGGGGACATAACGTCTCTCGGGCACCACCAGGAAAATGACTCGATTTTTGGTCGTCAGACACATGCACACAGCTGATGCGAGGTTCTCAGAGCAGATTATCACAGGGGTACAGAAAGCGGAGTTTCATTTTCGGAAGAAATCGATTGAGATTGGCACGGGCAGATTGCTGTGCCGTGTGGACCATCGTTTCTCTCTCGCGCAATCGCCAATCGTGGCGTGCGGTATCTCGGGGGTTACATGTAAAACAGCGCTGACGCTTAGCTCGTTCGTTGAAGCAGTAATGATGATGACAGCAGTCAAAGAGAAGGCGGCGATCTATGAATAAATAAATCGTGTACGTCGCGCTGCTCCTGGAATTGATCTTGAATCTCTCGGGTAGATTCATTCATGATCGCCGTTCACGGAAGAGCCAGCGCCCCCCCAACCAACGACATGAAGGCGGTTCAGTTACATACAGACAGCGCTTCCCATTGACGCCAAACTATTCTTGCCCACTGATAGAGATGGTAGGTGCATGCTGCTGCGCTGTGGTGTGTTTCTTAACGACCACGGAGGCGCAAGTCGGCAAGGCAGAGAGGATTGACAAAACAAAACAAAAAATTCAAAATTTCAGAATCCTGATTGGTGCCCACTGCTGTTGCTGCTGACGATCCTCTCTCTGCACTTGCCCACCTCACACACCAGTTAGTTACGCAGAGCATCAGGCACGACAAGAAGCGAAACGACTGCGCGCACAGCAGGCGACTCCTCCTCCTCCTCCTCCTGCTGTATCCGCCACGGTCGGTCTTTCCTGCGATGGTGCTGCTGCTGCTGCTGAAATCTCTTCTGAAATAAAGAACGGCGGCAACCGTGATTGACCCCTTCGAAAAAGCTTGCGACCACCAGCAGGGCACACCTGACCGGCAGCGAAACTTCGCGCGGTCCGCAGGACCGAATCGCCGAAGACGGGCGCGCCCCTCACCGACCAATCAGGTTGCTCCAAATTGGCCGGTACCTACCCCGTCACGCAGAGAAGATCCGTCCACAACCTAACCGCACCCACCTGTCCGCACACACATACACACAACCCAGCCTGCAGAGCCATCTCTCTCACATCATCATCCGAACAGGACAAGAGTGAGAAATTTTTGCGAAAAGAATCGATCGGCAGACAGGGGAAGAAGAAGAGAGAGACGTTGGCCAAGCCGAGAAGGCAGACGAGTTTGCAGTGCAACAACGAGAGAGCAGGTGAGAGAGAGGGAGAGAGAGAGATGAGAGTAGGTGATGACATGGGGTGTCGAACGCGCACCCCCTGTTGCCGTTCACCGGCTGCGTTGTTGGGCAACAAGTGAAAAACATCTTTGTGCAAGAAATTGCGGGTGGTTGCCGCAAACAGTGTGTGGATATATATGTGACTGCTGCTGGGATGTGCCTCTACGTATGTATGCTATCTGCTTCTTCAGTCCTTTCGTGACGATACACGAGGCACGCGACCACAGCCATTCAACAGCAGCAGTAGCGCCTGTGTGGCCCCGACATGTACGTCACCTCGAAAAGCTCGCGCCCAACAAAAGCAGCTGCTCTCAGGGCAACATTCGTTCGGTCCGCCTCGTATGCATGATCTATCCGGCCGGGCAAAAAAATGCCCCAGGGACCTAATTGTTTTTGGTGTTCTTGCGTGCTCTGTCCGCGGAGATTCGAAGTTGGCACATTTCCGGGCTCACCACAGCAAGATGCTGCCGTCCGTCTCCAAGCCCACGCAAGAGGGATAGCAAAAGGGCGCGCTCGTGTCTGTGCGCACAAATCGATGGGCTTGGTTGCGGTTGCTCTCAATCCCCTCCACCCAATTTTTTCTGGCCCATTTACTCCGTGTGTGAAGTATTATTTTCTCGAGCAGCAGGATGTATTGAAGAGCGGGATCCTGCTGTGAATTATTTTCTGGGGTGGTGCGCGCGGGCGCATGACTTTTTATACCCCGGGGCAAATATGTACAACTCTTGCCTTTTCTTGAACGACACACCGCAGGAGCACGACGTCCGCAGCAACGCAGCAGCAGCAGCAGCAGCAGCAGCAGCAGCAGCATGCACTTGAACGACTGGCCACTCGCATCGGATCAGCGCCGCCATGAGCGGCAGCGCCGATTCAGCGGAGATGATGGCATCGAAGGGTCCGATCACGGCCGTTTTGTGGCAACAGGAAGAAGAGTCACATATCCTGGCCACAGCAGCAGCAGCAGCAGCAGCGTGTCGCTGTCACCCTCTCTGATATCGATTTACCCCGGCGTTCTCTCCGGCGGCGGCATGAGCGTCAGCAACAGCAGCATCGCCTCGACCGCTGCCTCGACGGCATCACCCACAGCAGGGATGAGCCCGTGCTACCAGCAGCACCAGCAACCTTCGTTTGGCAACAACAATGGTAAGCAGACCGCGGGATCGGTCGTGCGCCCTTCTATCTTGAAAATAGCGACTTGGGCGGGTGTAGGAAGCAATCAAACTCGGAGCTATCCGCTCATGAACATTAATGATGTCGCACAAACCAAACTTCGCTTGTTCCTGTTGTGCATACATAGCAGTCAGTGGCACCCGACAAGGCTCGCGTATCTACCTACAACTCCGAAATCCGCGCTCCCTCTCTTATCTCGTGCCCAGGCAAGCCGTAAAAATCCAACACATGAAACCTGTTCCGAAACACATTGCGAAGCCGCCCCAACTATTTTCATCGCAAACATAAAAAAAGGTTCCGATCTGTGCTCAGTTTGGCGTTCAGCAGTAGTAACCCTAAACTTCCGTAATGGTTGCACTGGCGCCAGCGGGTGCCTCGGGTGATCAGTCATGCGTAGGCGAGAGACCAAACTAGGAGCGTTCCTTCCCTACAAATGCAATCTCGCTGTCTGTCGGCCTTTGCCCGCGGGCAACATCTTCCCAGCCTGTGCACAGGTAAGCGGTGTTGTGGTGTTTGGACAGAACAGGGTATGCATATTTTGGAATTTTGACGTTCGTTCGAGAAAAGAGAAAAGTGAGGGCGACCAATGGACCTATCATCATCATCATCATCATCATCATCATCATATCATCATCATATATGAAGATATTGTGAGTTCCGCTGCAAGCCCTACTTTTTCGTCCCGCTCATGACGCATATTCACTTGTGTGTCCAACCAAACCTCAGACAGCAAGTCTTTGTAACGGGTCAATCGCAACTGATGGGTTAACCGTTGTACATCGACCACGTGTTTTGCGTACAACTGATTAGTAACTTTGTTACACAAGAAAATCACAAAAAATAATTTGGCGGCCATTATTATGGTGAACTATTTGCGCATTCGTTACTGCTGTGTGTGGTGGCCTGCTGATGACGCAGCACAGCAGTTACACCAAACAAAGAGCTTATATTGCAGTTACAGCAGCAGCGCATTGTTGTAATATGCAAATAATAAATGTCGAACGGCTATGCAAACGGACAACAACCTCAATGTTTGATTCCGTACGGCAAGCAGCAAGCACGGGGCTCGTGTTGATGATGACTTGTTCATATGTGAAGACACAACAATACATCCAAGGCCGCGAGCGACGCAAAAAAATGTGCTTCCGCTTCGTATGCATTCGCTATTGTGATAATGCTGTTATTTAATCATGCCGCATTGTCGGATCGGATCAGATCGCTTCAGGATAAAGAGGTTGAAGATAAACGAAGTGGAGTATGCACAAGACACCGACAGTTGCGAAAGGTTGGTTGTATAACGGCGGGAGGCAAAAAAAACAAACTCGTTGTGTGATTTCAAGAAAAAACAAGAAAAAGAAGGATCCACAAGATCCACAAAAAATCCCGTCATGTAATGTGGTACCCGATGTTTTCCGTGCTTCCCGATAAGTCCCCGCAAGTGTTGGCAGCCTCGCCCTCCCGAGTTAGCACAAACACACATGAGGATCAATCAAGGGGCAACCTCAAGCATGACTCCCCCCCCCTCTGCCCCCCACAGACATTGGACGCGACGACTACTGGCGGACGGACTCTGGAGCTTCTTCCACCTGTTCCAGCGGCGCCGATGAGCTCCTCTCGACAGCGGACGGCGGGAGGGTGGAGAACGTCGGCAGCGTCGAGGGAGGGTTTCCCCAGTTCGAGCAGCTGCAGATGCCCCGGGGAGGGGGGTTGTCGTCAAGCCACCGGGACGGCGCGTTCCCGGACAGCCGGGTCAACTACAACATGAACGACCGGAACGCGACCGGTCACGGCATCAACGGCGGGGCCTTCGCAGACGTCGCGCTGTCCGCGTTGACCGGCCGGGGCGACAAGTTGTACGCCCGGCAGGAGCGCCAGCGTTCGCCACCCCCGCCCCAGCGACAGCAGCAGAACCACAGATGCGACGTTGGTTCCTGGCCACCCACCCACGTGTTCCCTGACGACTTGGAGATCCTCCTCGAAGAAGATGCCGATGACGAGGGCGACGAGAGTTCCGACTCCCCCGGCGTCTCGTACACCGCCAACAACAACAACACGCAGCAGCAGCAGCAGCAGCAGCAGCAGCAGCAGCAGCCGCTCAAGATGGAATTGCCCAGGTGGGTGGTGGTGCGGATGGGTTTCACTCTCCGACCAAAGAGAGTTTTTTGTCGTTGTGGTTGGTTGTCCTGTTTCACACCGTTCCCTCGGTACGCTCGCCGCAGGCAATGAGTCGTCGAGACTCAGACTTCGTGCTCGAAGCGATTCATCTCCCAACCTCCTCGTTATTTCTTAATTTTTGTTTGCTTGCGGCGTCGCGGCGGTACAGCGTCCTGTCCTCGACACATAACGCAGCCCCCCCCTTCTCAGGTGGTGTTTATTCCAGGTCGGTTGACACCCGTCACAGCTAGGCACGCAAAACATGAGCACGCCCCCCCCCCCGCGCCCTTTGTTGCCCACCAGGGCCTCGTCATGGGCATCGAGCCCGACCGCGAAGCTGTACGAAGCGGGTGCTCCGCAGCAGCAGCTCTTGCAGCCAAAGGAGCAGCACGACGTTCGCGACGTGGGCTCTCCCGCACTCTCGGGGGGCGTCGTTTCGTCGCCGTCGCCGGAACCGTACCACCCCTGCTCGCTGCTCCCGCTGCAGCACCAGCACCAGCAACTGCAGGACGTCTTAGACTGGCCCGCCTCGCCGCGCTTGGGAGGCTTGCAGGCGCCGCCCACCAGGGCTCTTTCACCGATGGCCGCCAGGTAAAGGACATAACGAATTAAGGTTGCGGTGTAAAATATGCCGACGTTGAGTGTAGATTCCCTACCATACAGTATCCTCGTACAAAGGCGTTTTTTTTTTTCAAGACGTCGGTGTTGGCCGTTTTACTTATGCGTCGCGGCGCGTAGCAAGTTTTTCCGCTTCGTGTGCTATCGTCATCTATCCACTTGGGTCCGCGCTATTGCCTGTCCGCGGTAGATACCCCGACGTGGCTATATGTAATTACCCCGATAACACGCACGAGAATGCATGATGGTACACGAGCACCACATGCGTTGCAACGAGCAGGAAAGCCGCTGCTCCCGTCCGCTGAAAAGTGACCGGAGCAGTTACTTCTCCGGTGGCGCAGAAACCACTCGCTTCTTAAAATCGACTGCTGTGTTTGTTGACCGTCTATCTTTTATGCATGGCCGGTTCGGGCGCACACCGACCGGTATAACAAGCAGCAGCCCGGTCGTGTTCAGCACCGAGGGTGACTTCCTGCAGACCCTGCAGAGCACCGGCTGCGGCGTCAGCGCCGCGTGGGATCTCGAGGAGGGAAGCACCACCACCGACAACGGCTCGTCTGACTGCTCCGAAGAGTTGGATCCTGCCCCCCTCCATCCTTTCCACCCTAACCACCACCAAAACAACAACGGCTGCACCTTCGATTACAGCCTGCAGAGCCTAGTCGAGGAGGTCGCCGGCGGCGGGGGGGTGTCGAACTGCTTCGACCTGGCGGATGCAGCGGCGGAGGCAGCGGCCGCAGCTTTTTCGCATACGGCCACCGTTTCCCGCGCGAGCGGATCCAAGAATCTCGTCTTTCCCGCGGCGGCGGCGGCGGCGGCGGCGGCGAAGGTGGGCACGGCTGCTGCGGCCATCGTCCCTCGGGGCGTCCTCGAGAAGGTTTCGCTAGGGAAGCAGCTCCTGGTTTCGCCGGAATGTTCCTCGCCGGTAGCGGCGGCGGCGGCGGCGGCGGCGGCCGCAACGCCGGTGTCTCCTCCAACGAGTCCTCCACAAACGCAGCAGCAGCAGCAAGCGCCGAAACGGAAGCAGAGACCGGCGGTCGGCAGCGGCAAGCCCACCAAGAAGGTCGCCGGCAATGGGCCGAAGAAGCAGAAGAAGCAGCCGCTGCAGGAGCAGAAGAATCCCAGCCCCGGGCAGCTCAAGATCAAGATCGCAAGGAAGGCGAAGGCGCTCGGAACTGGTACCCCCGAGGCCCCCGCGGCGGCGGCTGAGGGGAGGCCGAGGAAGGCCGCTCGCACGGCGGCGACCTCGATGGCTAAGAGCCCGCCGAAGAGCGGCGGCGTTAGGAAGGCGGCCGGTCGCGGTGGCGGATCAAGCACAAAGAGGTAAGCCCGGGGTAAGCACTTAGCATGCGTAGCCGCCACACATAAACCCCTCCTTCCGTCCTCTCGGGAGGATGCGGGGTAGATAATCTAACCGCTAAGGCATGAGTACTCCCCCCCTTGGTCCGGGGTCAATGGTCTAACCGCTGAGGCATTCAAAACATAAGTAACCCCCCTCTTGAGAAGCAAAACAAACGGCCGCCAAAACCCTCCCCTCCTCCCCCCGCCGCGACCGACTCATTCCTGTACCAGGGTCAAGGTGTCCCCGAGCAATGGTAGCCCAGCGCCGGCTTCCCCTGCCGTTGCCGCCGCCGGCAAGGACGGCGACCGTTTTCTGGACGACAAGACCAGGCGCAGCCGGGAGAAGAACCGCGACCACAGCCGCAGGTCTCGCCAGAGGAAGAAGGCTCAGCTGGAGGGTCTCAAGCAGGCGGTGCGTTGCAAACCAGTAACATACATACACACACACAGACATGCAAGCCTCGTCTTTTTTGGGCTCTTTGGAATTGGTTGCACCCCCACCCACCGCCCGCCGCCTGTTTGAGGGGTTTTCTGTTGAAGTTCCCTTTGAAATGTTCCGTTCCTTCAGTACGTGGTAAAATACCGCATTGTTGAGCACGAGCGGGCGGGCCCTTTGATCCTCAACATTCATCCCGTTTCTGTCTGTTCCTGTACCGTACCGGCAGTCTATCGACCTGGGCCCGTACCGCATGCTCGTGGAGCAAGCGCACGACATGATCTCGGTGCACTCCGCGGACGCAGATGCCTTCTTCGCGCTGGCCTCGGGAGCCTTCTACCGGCAGCTCGGATTCGAACCCACGGTGAGTCGTTCAGGCGGCGCAAAAGCTTCCGCTTTAACTGGTTCTCTCGCACTCACTCCATGGACTTCTGTGCTGGTGTTATCTCGAACGGGTAGTTTGACCGGAACGGTTTTTAATGTGAAGACAACAACAACAATAAATAGCTCGGACAGGTACGAATTGAGCCAAGCCAATCTGCTCCAAAGAGCACGCTACGCAGGCGCCTGTTCACTCCCATGCGTCGCGTTTGCGTGATGCATACTTGTCATGTTTCCGCCCTACTTTGGCCCTTCTAACCCTGCTGACTTGAAAATCCTGCCGAGCGCAGAAGATGCTGGGCGCGTCGCTGCTTGACCTGGTGGAAACCAAGGACGTGCAGGCCGTGGTCCAAGCCATCATGGACACTCTCAGCCGCGGAGGAATCAAGCAGGCAAGCTTCATGCATAGTTTTCCCAAACTGGTATGGGCCAAGTTGGTGTTGCCTTACATGACGTGCACATGCCGCCCGTGATGCCCAAGGGAGGAAACGACACATGACGAATTTTCGACCAGAAAGAAAGCACCTGGGCCATTTGAACAGACACCGCGCTCAAAAACTGCGTTTTTTTTTTAGAACGCGACGCAACCGCCTGATTTTCAAGTGATTAATAATACAAACACCCACGCACAGCCAACCAGACTAGAAAGCTTGCAGACAGCCTAAAGACCATCGCCCCCACCCAACCCCGCGCGGCTCCAACAGGTGCAGTACCGTATGCGCCCCCCAAGCGACGGCGACGCCGTCGAAGTGGAAACCTCCTTCCGCATGGCGTCTAGGCGCCTCCTGGCAATCACGAGGATCGTGGGCGCCGGCGTCCCTCGCTCCGTGTCTCCGGCCAAGGTACCGCTTCTTGTCCCTGCTGCGCCTAGCGGCGGCGGCGGCGGAGGGATTTCGCCGGCGGTGCCGGAGGCAAAGGAGCTGGGGTTGGGCTCGAGTGGGCCTCGCGGATTTTGCTAGATATTCCTCGGAGGGGTGTCACGTGATAGCACGTCTATATTTGCCGTGGCTCTTTGGTTTCGGTGTGTTTTTTTTTTGGCCGTCTTTTTACGAAAGGCGCGTTGGAGACAGCACATAGAATGATCGGTTCGTTAATTGGTCACGATCAGTCGGCTTCGCTTAGCTAATTTTATTTTACTACGTTGGCCGGAGGGTTCGGTCGCCGCAAACGGAATGTTTCGGTTCGCTTTCCGGCCACAGTTGTGTGTTTATTGTTTTCTCCGCTTTGTGTATAGTACCTGGGTTTGTTTTTCGTGTCGCGGCCGGTCGCCCAGTAGTCACTGCAATAGCCAAGCAATGATTTGTTTGTCATAGATTATTAGGTCTTTTCGGAGGATTTGAACTTTGTACGCGACAGAGCCCGTGTAACCCCTAATCCTCTTGCCAAGAAATGCGATGTGAATTGAACGGGGCCAAAAGCCCTCCCTCAAGACAGCTCTTGCTGGACGGTCTTGGGCAAAGAGATACCCAAGCTTTCCGTCTTTTTTTTTTCAGTCGTTCTTTTTCTTGTTATATTTCTGCTGCTGTTTTGATGGGTTCTTCCTTATTTCGTATCGCATTTTTTGCTGAGAAGAGCAGCACCATGGATATTGTTCGCCGCGAGGCACATAGGCTGGATGGTTCTCTTTGGGCAGGTTTTCGAGAGAACATCATATACATACGTGTTCTGCGATTCGATGTTTGGGTACCATTTATTTGGTCTTGTTGGACAGAACATTGATGACGGTGTTTTGTGGTGACGGGATTTTCCTCCCCGTGGAGGCATGTTTATCGATATTGCGGTGCTCCGTCACCCCTCTTCTGGAAAGACGAGTACGGCTAGAACCAAGCACCTTTGTCTTTTCTTTTTCCCCTTATTTCTTTTCCCGCGTGGAAAATAATTTATTTAGGGAGAGCTTTAATTTGCTTGCTGCGGTTTTTTGGAGAAGTCGCGGCAAAACCAAAACGCCGACGGCTAAAATACTTTGCATCTGCACCTCTTTTGTTGTTTGTTTTATTGTTCGAGGTGGCGCTCAACCAAGTCGCTGTGTGCCGGAAAACTGCTAGATAGTTGCTTAGTCTGTGGTTGAGGACAGAACGGGCTTGGGGCAGCACCAGCAGAGGCTCGACGTAGTTGGTGCGTTTTGAACCTGTATAATATTTTGGTAGCAGGCGCTGAGCATGGATTGTTAAAGACTTCATCATGGCGGTTTCGTGGACATGCAGTTTCGCCATTTGCTTGTGCTGCACCTTACAATAGTGGTACTCCCTACAGGTTTCTTCCTCCCTGTGATGTTTTTTAGTTATGAACGAATTTTGGGCCATTGTGGGTGCGAGATGAACTTTTCGCCATGTACGTGGAGCAACCAAAACCTTTTGACGGTAGTACTACCCGCTTTTGCTTGTTTCTCCTTGTTCTGTTCAGCAGTCAGATCCTCGGGCTACACACGCCTTCTATGCTGGCGCTTGACTCGGGGGATAGGGCAGTCATTAGTTTGTTGCCTTGCCATAGTCTAAAAAGAAAAAGAAAGGAGAGAGGAGGGCAGATTGTTAGTGGGTGTTTTTTTATGTGACATGGTTGCCGGTACAAGCTTGAAGGCACGTGTCATGCGGGCTATGGACGAAAGAGGCAACCTGCCGGTGTCGTTGTTTGTTGGTGTGTCGTCATTTACATGTCGCTTGTTGTGTAGGCGTTGGGCTCAGGCGGCGTT